AGATGTTGACCACAGAGTTGCACTGGAGGACCTAGAGAATCCTAGAGAAGTTTTGTCAGGTAAAAAAATATTTTTTTATATATATATGGTTTTTCCACTTTCACAGAGGGCCTGCGCCCCTAATCCCAGCAAATGTGGAGGGCCCACTGTACAGCTTCCTTTTTCCCAGTCAAGTTTTTTTAAATTATCCTTCTTCCTTTACAATACTAAGGAGTTTATCACACGGGGGAAATCTTGTGCAGAAACGGGGTTTTAAATTGAAAAAAACCCCCGCAAAAGTGGGTAGATTTTCAGACAACGACGCTGTTAAAATGGGATTAACCCGAATGGAAAGTAGTCAGAAACTGCTTCTTTTTACTTTCGGAAAATCCTGAAAGTAAAAAGAAAGCAGTTTTTGACTACTTTGTGTTTGGGTTAATCCCATTTTAACAGCAATGTGTGTGAAAATCTGCCCATTTCTGCACGGGATTTCCCCCGTGTGATAAACTCCTAAGACTGGAGGGGAATCATCCAGCCCTCCAAATGCTATTGGACTGGAATTTCCAGCATTCCTTATTATTGACTTGTTGGCTAGATCTGTTGGACTGCAATGCTTGCATGATTCCCATTCTTGTACTAAGCCTGGAGATGGAAAGTAAAGTAATACAGATGTGCACTGAATAAGCTGTGACTGAAAATCATAAGAAAAAAATACATTTTTTCTCCAGAAACTTTTCTTCTGTGGCAAAATTATTGGTTTATGCAAATTTCACCCTGATATAACACTATCACATCTCCTGAAGGTTTTCTTTTGGCCTTTCTATAACTCAGTGTAGAATGCAGAAAAAATAATTTATCTGAGTAGAACTTCATAACCTACAGAATTTTACAGACGAAAACCAGGACATGTGTGGATGGATATACAACAACATAGTATGGTAAGGAGGAAGAATAACCTTCTTTGGAGGTTTTAAAATAGAGGCTGGATGGCCATCTGTCAGGACTGGTTTGATTGTGTCTTCCTGCATGGCAGAAGGAGGTTTGACTGGATGGCCCTTGGAGTCTCTTCCAACTTTAGGATTTTAAGAAACAAGGTATGAGGGGCTGTAGCAGTTTACTTTTGCTTAAGATAAGATTTTGTTCTCTCCTGCCCTCCCTGCTGACTTAACTGAATACAGACTACTTTTGCATTTTGAGGCAAATATTTGATTGTCCTTTTCCAGGTGAAAGCCATTTGAAAATCTGCAGCGATTTCGGAGAAGTACGCCTCCATCTTTTGAATGCAATAAATATTTCCTGGCCAAAATTTATTGGGCTGTTATTAAACATAAAAATACATCCTAAGATTAAAATGTGTGGAAAATACAGATATTTCTTCTCAATAATCCCGAAGAGTACATTATGCTTTCTTTGATTAATGTGAATGTAACTTTGAACTGTGTCCCCGTCTCCCATTCACTCTGTATCACTTTCAACCCGTTAATAGTGCAGAAGGGGACAAGGTATTTCACCACTGGTTTAAGAAAGAGCCCGTGTGGTGCAGTGGTTTGATTGTCGGATTAGGACTCTGGAGACCAGGATTCGAATCCCTGCTTGGGCAGGAAAACCCATTGTGTAACCTTGGGCAAGTCCATACTCTCTCAGCCTCAGATGGAAGCAAAAGCAAACCACCTCTGAACAATTTTGCCATGAAACCTCTATGATAGGGATACTATAAATCAGGGGTAGGCAACCTTTTTGAGCCGGGCGGCCGGGTTGCTGTCCCTCAGACAATTGGGGGACCGAAGCACCAAAAATAAATAAATAAATGATTTAAAAAAAGTATGCATGCACACTCTCTCAGCCCCAGAAAAGCCATGGCAAAACCCCTGTGGAGATTTTGCCAAGAAAACCCCAAGAACAAGTAATAACAACAATAATCAATATCATCATGGCGGGCGGCGGCGGCGGGGGCAGCAGGGAGCGGCGGCGGCAGGATCGGCCTGGGGCCAGTCCAAAGGCCTCGGGGGGCCGCATCCGGCCCCCGGGCCTTAGGTTGCCTACCCCTGCTATAAATCATAAACAACTCGAAGGCACACAATACACACACCTCAAAAATTGTGCAGGAATATTCTCTGTAGTTGACAGAAAGCTCTGCAGACTCTCCCATCCTTGCTTGGCACACAGCAACAGTTAGGAAAAGCCATTCAGTGCTTCTATTTTCATACCTTTAAAAATAATTTATAAAATGTAGAGTTGTGCAGTCAAAAGTATTTATTAAGGTAACGTGTTTCAAAATATTTTGAGTAGAACATATATGAAAAGCTGGCATAATCTGTCAAAGTATAAAGTGTTAGATAGCTTCTAATCAGTAAGTCAACATTAGTTTTCAAGTGGAGTTTGATAAGACTCGTATGTAATGAAAAGGCTTAGTCAATCTACTGTTATTCTACGGTTAACAATAGTTATACTGTATTATTAACCAAATCACTGTCTAATACTGGTGTGCAATTTTCTTCCAGCCAGAGGACACCACGGTCAAATTTTGAAGGCCAACATGTTGGATATCCAGCAGTGTAACAACTTGGTATAATAAAGAATAATGATAATAAAAAAGCAATGTAAGAACTTGGCCTGTTGAGTTGGTGTCTGCCCTGCAACAGTCTAAAGATGCAAAACCTTTGGAGCAAAGAAGTGGTCAAAATAGCTTTGGATAATGATTGATCCTGGGGAAAGCTGCACATGCTGGATTTCTGCATGCCATACCTGCACTCACAATAATGGAAGATATTTGGTAAGAGAAAGAATAGTAGATCATAGTGGTTAAGAGACTGAACAAATAGGACATACCCAGTTCAAATGTCACTTGAGTCATAAGCCATACATACAAACACCAATGTCCTGTTAGCAAGTCTTGAGGTTAAGGATGAGTCAACACAACATTGATTCAGTTGGTCTATTCTAGTCAAGATTCAGAATATAGATCAACTTGGCATTAGAAAACGTAGGGATAATGGTTTAATGATCTGTTTTAACAGGCTAGGAAGTGCTTGAGCATTTAAGGAACATGCTATATTATTCTCATAACATCAAAGCTCTTGCTACAAATAGATCTGCTTGTTTTAAAGATCAACCAGAATCTTTACTGCTGGGTTGGGCAACTGCAACTACAGCAGAGGGCATTTTTTGTCCCTACATGCATCACTTATGGTTTCAATTTCAGCATTTCTTGATGGGAAGAATTGGGGAGCAGCCCCAACTGCAGCATTCTTAGTGGTTTTGCTGTGGTTTGGAGTCAGACGGTATTTGGGATTCCTGCATGGCAGGAGGTTGGACTTGATAGCCTTTGAGGTCTCTTCCAACCCTATGGGTGATTTTTACCAGGTGATCTGGTGTAGGAGGAGTGGCACATGGCCCACATACCCCCACCCCACTTAAACACTTATCATTTTAAATGGAAAGATAGCTACTGACCAAAATGAGGAGAATCTAATATTGTTGTTTGTCTTCAAGTCATTTCTGACTTATGGTGACCCTAAGGCCATCATGGGGTTTTCTTGGCAAGATTTGTTCAGAGGAGGTTCACCATTGCCATCCTCTGAGGCTGAGAGTATGTGACTTGCCCAAGGTCACCCAGTGGGTTTCCTGGCCGAGAGGAGAATCGAAGCCTGGTCTCCAGAGTCATAGTCCAACACTCAAACCCCTATGCCACTCTGGCTGTAGAAGCTCCTTACTATAACACTTTTATTCTGATCAAAAGCTTGTGTGTGTTATAGTATGCCTGCCACAGGATTCACCATACAATCATGAAACAGTGGGATCCCTGTGTGGATATTTTTTTGGGTATTTATTATCTCACACCCTCGAACTGTCCTGATTTGGCTGGGGCAGTCCCAATTCATCTTCTGTCCTCCCCACTTTTCAGTTGCTTTTAAAATGTCCTAGTTTCTCACTCCTCTTTCCACTTACTCCCTTTACTAGTAATGGACTTAGTGGTGATGAAAAAACAGAAGCTTAATTGGGTCAAGACAGAGGTACTCTTGGTAATTCAAAAGGTGGATTAGGGAACAGGGATTAAACTTGTGCTGGATAAGGTTACAATCCCCCCGAAGATACAGATTTGCACTTTAGGTGCACACCTGAGCTGAATCCTGAGCCTGGACATCTACGTTTCTGTGGTGGCCAAGACTCAGTGCATTTACACAATTAACCTAATTCCATAGATATAGGCTTAACAGACTAAATGTGAAAGAGATCTAGGAGTCCTAATAGACCACAAGGTGAACATGAGTCAATATTGTGATGCAGCACCTAAAAAGACCAATATGATTCTAGGTTGCATCAGTAGAAGTATAGTGTCTAGATCAAGAGAAGTAATAGTGCCACTCTGTCCTATGGTCAGGTGTCACCTGGAATACTGAGTCCAGTTCTGGGCACCACAAATTCAAAAAGGATGTTGACAAGTTGGAGCGTGTTCAAAGGAGGGTGACTAAAATGGTGAAGGATTTGGAAACGATGCCCTGTGAGGAATGACTTGGGGAGCTGGGTATATTCAGCCTGGAGAACAGATGGCCAAGAGGTGATATGATAGTCCTGTTTAAGTATTTGAAGGGGTGTCATGCTGAGGATGGAGTAAGCTTGTTTTCTGCTGCTCCAGAGAATAGGATCCAGAGCAATGGATGCAAGCTATTTGAAAAGAGATTCCACCTCAACATTAGGAAGAATTTCCTGACAGTAGAGCTGTTCAACAGTGGAAGACACTAGCTCAGAAAGTGGTGGAGTCTCCTTCTTTGAAAGTTTTTAAATAGGGCCTGGATGGCTATCTGTTGGGGGTGCTTTGATTGTAAGTTCCTGCATGGCAGGGGGTTGGACTGAATAGCCCTTGTGGTCTCTTCCAACTCTGTGATTCTCACTCCAGTGTGCAATCTGTGTTCATTTCTAAATGTGCCTTATCCAGTTATGGAGATATACGTCTGAGTTCCATCCCATTTGGATTATGGCAAAGTGGCAACATCAGCTAGTCCAAAATGTTGTGTCCAGACTGTTGACCAGCCAGTTACAAGGAGAATGTAACTTGTTACAACAGCTTTCTTAGGCAAGTTAGGCTGGCCACCTTCATGTCATCATTTCTCCAGCAAAAACCTTCCAATGCAGGCAAACGTCCCATAACTATTTGGCTACTAAAGAAATGATTTTTTAATGAGTAGGCATTGTATCTTCATTTTGTTTCTAAATGGCTGTATTTTACAGCTGTTTTCATATTGTAACTGTTCCAGCACTGTTTTTAATATGTCATACATCTTACTGTACTTTTTATTTGTGTTATTATTTTAAGTGTGTGTTTTAAACTGTCAACTATTTAATAGTATTTTAAGGGGCGGGTGGGATTGTGGGGTATGGAATGTATATTTTAATGTTGTAAGCTGCCCCGGTTGCGGTATGCAGAGAGATGGGATAAAAAATTATTATTATTATTATTATTATTATTATTAATTACCAGGTTGTAATCATGTTGCAAGCTACCTTGTGCCCCAGTCTGGAAGAAATGTATAGCCAGCCATTGTTTTAGTTTGCTTTTTCAAGGACTGGTGTTATCTGCTCTTTTTATCAGGTTTTTACCTGGTTGTGAAAGGACATCAGGAAGGAGATGTAGAACAGCATACCCTACAACTGTCCTGATTTGGCAGGGAGAGTCCCAAATAACCCCATCCTCCTGCTTTTTCAGCTGCTTTAAAAGTGTTCCAGTTTCTTGTCTTCTCCTCCCACTTACCCCCATTTGTCCTCAGTTTACTTCATTTGCTGCAAACTGAATTTAAAGTGTAGTGGAAAAAACAGGAACGGAGACCCTCGGACCATCCAGGAAAGTAGAGTTTATTTTTATGTCGACGGAGTCTCAGACAGGTCAGCCCCGTGACATGAGAGCCCCTTCCTCAGCTAATCAATATCCTTATATACCATCTTACACAGCTAGTTTATAATTACATTAACACATGCATAATTCAACATTTCCATTGGTTACAAGATATAGTTTCAATCTCCACCTCTGTTGATTACATATTAAACTTCTGCTTGCCATGCGTGAACTATGTTAGCCTTACTCATTGACACCTGGGCTCATTAATTAGCTCCTATCTTTTTAATTTCCTTACTTTACTCCCAGTCCATACCATCAATCTTTAACCAACATTCCTTTTCCTATCGCTTTGGCTCTGAACAGTCTGCCTGTCTTCAAGGTTGAAAAACAACATTCCTTGCTATCTTTTCCAGTGAAGCCAAAACTAAAAGCTTTTTAGAATTGCTTGGCAAATGCACAGTTTTAAACATAGAATATGAGACCCCCAAGGATCATCCAATCCAGCCCCGCATTAGCCACGAGCTTTGTAGTTTCTTTTACATTATTTCATCCCCTACGAAAGAGCAAAAGTAGTTTGCACTTGGGTCCAAAACACGCTGCAGAAATAAGTGTTTGAAACTGCTTTAAACTGCCCTGCTCAGTGCTAAAGAATCCTGGGAGCTGTAGTTTGTTGTGGCACTAGAATTCTCTGACAGAGAAAGCTAAATGTCTCACAAACTACAGTTCCTAGAATTCCATAGCACTGAGCCAGAAGAGTTAAAGTGGTCTCAAACTGGATTATTTCTGCAGTTTGGGCCTCGCTTAACTCAGCAAAGAGGGCAGAATTTTGTCTTTTCCAGTTGTTATTGTTAACTGCCTTCAAGTCAACTTAATCCAAAACACACTGCAGAAATAATCCAGTTTGAGACTGCTTTAACTGCCCTGGCTCAATGCTAGGGAATCCTGGGAACTGTAGTTTATTGTGGCACCAGAGCCTCTCTGACAGAGAAAGCAAAATGTCTCTCACAATGAGCCACAATTCTCAGAATTCCCTAGCACTGAGCCAGGGCAGTTGAAGTGGTCTCAAAGTGGGTTATTTCTGCAGTGTGTTTTGGACCCCACTGGGTGACCATGGGCAAGTCACACTCTCTCAGCCTCAGGGGAAGGCCATGGCAAAGCTCCTCTGGAGAAACCTTGCCCAGAAAACCCCATGATAGGTCCACCTCAGGGGCTGAAAACGACAACAACTTAAAACATGGTGTAAAACCACATTATTTCTACAGTGTACATGCACCCAAAGGTAAAAAAACAAAAACAAAAGAGCACACTGGAGAAATAGATAGTCCAGCCTGAGACTGCTTTAACTACGGAATTCTGGGAGCTGTAGTTTGTTGTGAGCTTTGTGAGACATTTAGCTTCTCTGTCAGAGAACTCTAGTGCCACAATAAACTACAATTCCCAGGA